TGGGCGTCGCTAGGCCATTTTTAGGGGGGCTATAGCCTGCATATAATATATGCATCTGTGCAGTTCTTTGTCATAAATCCAGTTTACAAAATATCATGGGAGAGCAATAATTGGTTAGTTCCCCATCTACTGTAGCCTATAAGTTTTCACTGCGTTCACCCCTCATCACACCACAGCTGTTTCCTCCAGCGAAAATGAAGCACATATGAACGCATACTTTATAAAATGATCATGTTGCTATTTTCATTTGAAAATTTAACTTTCAATATAATACATATTCCAATGCATGTGGCAAAGAGGTTTGCATAAGCCTACTTCAGAAAAGTAATACTAGAAATGCAAACAATACAATTTTGTGTTTGTAGCCTACAGTAAACAGGTTGTGTGTGTGAGATCATGAAGACTTGAATTTGGTTTATTCAGTACTCAAATGTTATACCTATCCATGCAATACAGTGGAATACTGCAATATGTTTAGTATACGAATATTAATCAAACATTTTTTATTTTATATATATATATTTTTTAATTTTTATGTTTTTTAAATTTTTTATTAGGCTATTATTATTATTGTACCCTCACTGGGGGCTGAGCCCCCCTAAAATGAAAATCCTAGAATCGCCCCTGGAGAGCGTCATTAAATAGAAAACAAGAATTAGACAAAAAGATGGAGAACCAAAATTATTTAGCACTTCTTCTCGCCATATGCCAAAATGTATGCAATTCCATTTTCACTTCACAAGATGTTAATCAATGGACTGGAGTTGTGTGGATTATTGTGATGTTATTATCAGCAGTTTGGACTCTCATTCTGACGGCACCCATTCACTGCAGAGGATCCTTTGATGAGAAAGTGATGCAATACAAAATTTCTCCAAATCTGTTCCGATGAAAAAACAAACTCAACTACATCTTGGATGGCCTGAGGGTAAGTAAATCTTCAGCAAATTTTCATTTTTGGTTGAACTATTCCTTTAAGCCATACAGTCTGAAAATGCACTCCGTTATTGGTCAAGACTTATGTTATGTGGCTATACAGAAACTGATTTAAAGGGATAGTTCACCCAAAAAAGTTATCTGACAACCTGTTAACAAAGCCCTATTGGGAAATCTAGTCACAAGCCTCCTCTGCAAACTGTACACAGTGATAAAGTTCCTTCATGGATGTGTTGCTACAGATGCTGTAGGGCTTTTTCCTCTCAACCTTGAAATCTCAAGTGTTGAGGAAACACTTCTACTGCAGAGTTGATCCTGGCGATAACGTGTTAACTGAATACAATCCGCATGTGTGCCGCTTGTCATTGAGGCTCTCTGTGTGAGCAATGAAAGCACAACGATGCTACATTTATTTAAATAAAAAATACAGTAAAAACAGCAATATTCTGAAATGGTATTATCATTTTAGATAACTGTATTCTATTTGAATTTATATCAAAATGTAAATTATTCATGTGATGCAAAGCTGAGGTTTCAGCATCATTACTCCAGTTTTCAGTGTCACATGATCCTTCAGAAATATGATGATTTGCTGCATTAGAAACTTTTCTTATTATTATCAGAGTTGAAAAGAATTGTGCTGCTTAATATTTGTGGAAACTGTGATTATTTTTTGATGAATAGAAAGTTCAAAAGAACAGCATTGATTTACTGTCACTTTTGATCAGTTTAATGCATCCTCGCTGAATAAAAGTATTAATTTCTTTCAAACAAACCAACAAATCTTACAGACCCCAAACTTTTGAATGGTAGTGTTTCTGCAGTACATAGTATGCTATATTTTCTGCAGTATATAGTATGCTATATTTTCTGCAGTATATAGTATGCTAATTTTCAGTATGTATAGATATACATCTGTAAATAGCACAAGTAACACTTTTTCTTTTTTTCTTATTGTATTACTATATTGTTATTTAAAATGTATTGTCTACTCTCTACTCTATTATTATTGTTTTGTATTACCTTAAATTATATGTACACTCTAAAAAATGCTGGGTTAAAAAGGGACAAAATAAACAGCATTTTTTAGAGTGTATGTCTGCGTTTGTACCTGTACTGGAAGCTCCTGACACCATGACGAATTCCTTGTGTGTGTAAACACACTTGGCAATAAAGCTCTTTCTGATTCTGATATACATAACATATAATAAGCAAGTGAAAAACATGCAGGTTTGCTGAAATGTGAAATATACAGTACAACAGAGCACACTGGTCTGTATCTCACAATGCATTGTGCTCAACTTGACCTTGCATTTCCACTGTGACAAATGAAACACAACAGACTTTAGTCAGGGTAGATGCTGTATTTAATTCAACACAAATGAAACTGTGAGGGATAAAAGTGATGAGGCTGCACTGTGCATCTTAGTGCTGATCACAAAACATTTTTTCCCCCTGATTTTTTCTGATATTGTAAAAAAATAGACGTGACCTAGAATGTACGTCTGTCCCTCGTGGCCTCATTTTTATTCATGTCAAATTAAATAAAGCATCTACCATAAATAATAGTATACAGTTTTCAAACAGTAGAACACTAGTATCCTTTATGTCAAAATACTATTCAGTTAAAGGGATAGTTCACCCAAAAATGAAAATGTGATGTTTATCTGCTTACCCCCAGGGCATCCAAGATGTAGGTGACTTTGTTTCTTCAGTAGAACACAAATTATGATTTTTAAGTCCAGCCGTTGCAGTCTATCAGTCGTATAATGCATGGCAATGGTAACAAAATCTATGAGAGTAAAAAAAACATGCACAGACAAATCCAAATTAAACCCTGCGGCTCGTGACGACACATTGATGTCCTAAGACACGAAACGATCGGTTTGTGCCAGAAACCGAACAGTATTTATATAATGTTTTGCCTCTAATACACCACTATGTCCAACTTCCTTGGGCGCGCGCACGGCATCCGATGCGTGAGGTAGACTGCAACGGCTTTACTTAAAAATCATAATTTGTGTTCTACTGAAGAAACAAAGTCACCTACATCTTGGATGCCCTGGGGGTAAGCAGATAAACATCACATTTTCATTTTTGGGTGAACGATCCCTTTAAATCATATAAGCCTTGCTAAATGCTACAACCACCGCTAGAGGAAATGGCTTCAGCTCTTTAGCGATCCCTGCTGGTTGATTAGAAATGTAATGTTAAATTAGACTAAGTTGGCATGAAATTACCCAATATATACTAAAACATCTTACATACACATAAACAGTCTGGGGTAAGCTTGATTAATTGATTAATTTTTTTATTAATACTTTTATTCAGCAGAGGTGCACTGAATTGATCAAAAGTGACAGTAAAGACATTTTGTTATAACATATTTCTTCTTGAAATTAAAACTGTTATTTGAAACTTTCTATCCATCAAAGAATTTGTGTCAATGATTATAAAAGCGTAAGAAGTAAACATGATTGTGACAATAGTCAGCTAAGCAAACATTACTGCACTAAACCCATCTCTCTCTCTCTCACACACACACACACACACACCAACACACACACACAAAGAGAGCGAAGCACACATATCCGCACAAAACCCCTCTCTCTCTCTCTCACACACACACACACACACACACACACACACACACACACACACACACACACACACACACACACAGAGTCATAATTACACAGGATCTGTTGATCTTTGTTCTGCCAGAGCTGCATATGGAGTCTCCCTGCCTAATGCAAAGTTCTGGTTAAACATTGTCCCAAGGTTTGCGTTCTGCCTTCTGTTGTTTTTACACTAAAGCCCAGGCAATTGTTGGAGGCATTATTGACTTTGTAATTAAACTATTTTAACATCAAGATTTTGTAATCATTACATTTCAAGCCATCTGTTCCTGTCCGAGGCCTGAAATGGATTTTCCCTTTGAGGAGATAAAGGCCAGCACAATGTCTTTACACACAGACAAATGCTGAAATCCTCATCTGAGTTTGCACCAGCACCATACATACAAATTATGATGCAATTATATGATTTCAGCTGATCTGATTATGGATTTATTAGCATCCATCTGCTCAAAGACTAACAAAGCTGAATTTAAAGAACCCAGGGATGAATAAACCACTCCTAGAGTCATAATATATGAACATCTTGTGGCCTTGATGCCTGGTTTTAGTCAACATAATTATCAACAATGTTAATTTAACAATGCAGAAATCAACTCATCTCTTCACATAAAGATCCACAATTGTGCTTCCAGTTTGAAATGCCCTTAACCAGAGTTATTATAGTTAACTGTTATTATACATTTGTGTAACTGAAATATGAAATAAAATAAAATAAATAAAAATGTAACAAACAAAACAGAAATGAAATGAAAATTAGAAATGTTGCTTTGGCAACTAACTAAATTAAGGTTATGTCGAAGCATTAAAATTACAAACTGAAAATAACAAAAACTAAAAATGAAGTAAAACTTAAGTAAAACCTAAATAGAGATAAATTAAACAAATAGTAATATAAAAAAAACAATTAATAAAATGACAAAATCACATGAAAAATGTAACACTGACTATATAAAATGAAGCTAAGTGAAAATATTAATAAACAATTTAACAGTATATAAATAAAGCTATAATAACTCTGGTGTGAACAGACATTCATTATATCTGATTTGAAGATCTGCGTTCAAAGTCTGCTCTATTAATGTCCTTCTGCTGCATTCATGCTCGTCTCTTTTTAATTAGAAGTTAGAAATGTACTTTATGGATAAATGCTTTTTCCAAGAAAGCTATCATTTGAAATCGAAGGCTGAACGTCTTTTGACTCTTTTGGTGGAAACATTTACAAAACAATATCAGATAGTCACAGTGTAGATGTATGTAGATGTTATTAAATAAAACATTTTGACCTCCAGAATAAAGAGAGTGAAAAGTTGTACATGTATTTTATTAGTATATACAAGAATGCCAAATCAAGAACAATGATGAAATGGTATTATATAATATACTACAAAACCTTAAAATAAAATATATAATTGGGCCATTACCTGTCATAATCCTAACTGTTAGCACAAAGAAACAACAATTCAACCAATCAATTAGCCTGTCTGCAATGCAATTGACAAAGAAAAATGTACTATAAGATATACAAATGAGCTAAAACATGTCTCACCTTCTGTGAGTACAGCAGAGATGTTGAATTACAGATAAGGTTTCAGTCAGGACGGCCCACCAGTTGACCCCATGAACACAGTATTAATTGGGGGCAAAGATGTCACCATTTCTCTGATCTCTGTGGTCCCCTGGAGAGGCAGCAGTGCATTCTGGGAGTGATAAGGAGCAGGACCTCCATACATGCAGGGTGTTGAGATAGAGCAGGAATGAGCGATGCTGGATCCTGAAATAGGACAGAATAAAGAAGCATAAGACAGTAATGGAAGACATTTTAGGTAAAAATAGCCATGCATAAAGGCCTCGTTAAATATATAAGGGAGGCTGGGTCTAGTTGTCACACTATGTATCAGCAAATTCAGCTTTGATCACAGATATAAATCACATTTTAAAATATATTCAAGTTATTTTAAATTGCAATAATGTTTCACAATATTACAGTTTTTACTGTATTTAAAAAAAAAAAAAAATGCAGCCTCGGGAAGCATAAGAGACTTCTTGCATCTTTCTTTGATAATGCAAACACAATGACACATATAAAAAACTTGTGACAAATAGCCCCGGTCTCCCTTAGCTGTATTTCTGTCCTCACCTGCTGTGTGTGCGCCCATTGCAGACAGGTCAGTGTAGTAGGGTCTTGTTGTCTTCCTGCTCGTGTCATCTAGGATGTTGAGAGGGTCGTGCACTTCAGCATAGGCCGAGACAGAGCGAATGCTGCTCACGCTGCTGATAACTGACACATGCTGATCGATAAACGTGCCCATCCTCTGAGCGTCCACATACCCGCTGCTGCTGTAATATCCTGACCAGGTAAAAGCCGAACATTAATGTTTCTAAAGAAGCATCTGAAAACAATTCATATTTACCTTTCTGAGCAGCGTACTAACATAATTAAAATACATGATAAATCTCGTCCTTTGAGGTCAGTTTTTGGGCTTTGCAAATGTGCTACAGAGAAATCTATGGGGAAAGAACATATGGTAAATCACTTTTTTATTTAAATGTATTTATTTTATAGTTTTCCTTATTCATTTATGTAATTCCTTTTTGCTACTTCTTTAATAGGAACAGTGAAGGAAGGACATGAATGATACTGTATATAGAATAGGGAAGAATAGAAATGTGACATGAGCTGGACTCAATCTTGCATTGCCCGCATAAGCACCAAAGCACATTGTGCGCGCTAAATACTAGAACATGACTCAAATTTATTTCCTTTTATTATTTTATTTTATCTTTTAATTACATTTTTTTATTTAATTATTTAAAAAGTATTTTATTTATTATTTAATTATTAAAAATATATACAAAATAAAATACAAATATATAATTATAATTATTTTAAATTTAATACTGTATTTATTACAGTAAAACGAGTATTTGAATATATTCTGTTTGAATATATTTTAAAATGCAATTTATTTCTGTGATCCAAAGCTGAATTTTCAGCATCATTCCTCCAGTCATCAGTGTCACATGATCCTTCAGAAATCATTCTAATATGCTGATTTGCTGCTCAAGAAACATTTCTTATTATTATCAATGTTGAAAACAGTTGTGCTGCTTAATATTTTTGTGGAAACCGTATTACATACAAGATTGTTTGATGAATAGAAAGTTCAAAAGAACAGCATTTATTTGGAATATAATTTTTTAACATTAATACTTTTTTAACATAATAAATGTCTTTACTGTCACTTTTGATCAATTTAATGCATCCATGCTGAATAAAAGTATTAATTTATTTTTTAAAAATCTTACTGACCCCAAACAGCAGTGTATATTTTTTTTATATAAATTTAAGTTAATTGGCCAATAATAATTCAGCTTTTCTCACCATTGTGCCCAGAGCTGCAAACTGGACCTGAACATCCATCTCCACTGGCAACACTTCCTCCAAAGCTGTACCCTGTGGAGTCCAGCAGCTGTACGCCCTCAGTATCCATCACAGGGTCACCTGAGGCTGCGTATCCAGTCGCTGCAGCCCTCGAGCTGTAGGGAGACACGGTACAGCTGCTGCTGAAGCAGTCTTTGGTCAGCTGGTGTCCAGAGAAGTGTGCGTAGTGGCCGCTTTCAGCACGAGCCTGATAGGCTGATGTTGGAGTGTGAGTCTGAGCTCTGAAAACAGGCTGGTAGTAAGAGGAGCTGGGGTAGGAGCCAGAACTAGTATTGTGCAGATTCTGGTACATGGTGTCGGAGAAGGTCTGGCAGGACACCTGGGGCTGGATGGGGCAGCTGCTCTGCGGCCTCACAGCCATCGGGCCCTGGTTGATCACACTGCTACGGTTGATCATGGCAGGAGAGATCGGAGGGGTCATCAGAGGGGCGCTGTTCTGCGAGTAATCCATTTGACCTTAAAAATATTGGTAATTATGTTAATATAAATTATTATATAAAACGTTTTCACTCGGAAATTGCAAGTAAATTTCACAATTAATTACAAAGAAACAGCAACACATTGAATTAAATGTGACCCTGGACCACAAAACCAGTCATTAGGGTCAATTTCTCGAAATTGAGATTTATACATCATCTGAAAGCTGAATAAATAAGCGTTCCATTGACGTATGGTTTGTTAGGATAGGACAATATTTGGCCGAGATACAGCTATTTAAAAATCTGGAATCTGAGGGTGCAAAAAAAATCTAAATATTGAGAAAATCGCCTTTAAAGTTGTCCAAATGAAGTTCTTAGCAATGCATATTACTAATCAAAAATTAAGTTTTGATATATTTACAGTAGGAAATTTACAAAATATCTTCATGGAACATGATCTTTACTTAATATCCTAATGATTTTTGGCATAAAAGAAAAATCGATAATTTTGACCCATACAATGTATTTTTGGCTATTGCTACAAATATACCCCAGTGACTTAAGACTGGTTTTGTGCTCCAGGGTCACAAATGTGAAATTTAGAAGCAGAAAGACTGAAATAGTATTTTCTTGTAAAACATACTTCAGTAATCCTTGTTTTATTTACAACTTTGAAAAAAAATCTTTTTACAGTAAAAAATTTGGTTTGTCTTAAAAGATTTATGCATTTTCCCTCCAAAATGATTCTGTTGCTATATTAATATTGAAATACTGAAATGAAGAATTACTTGATATCCTTATGGCGAAAAAAGATTTACATATTAATATTTAATATTAATATTAAATATTCATTAGTTATAATTAAAAGACAATAACAGCATCATTTTGGAGGAGGAATGCATAAATGAAACAAAGATTACTTAACTGTCAAATTTACAAGCAATTTCTGAGTCCGTATATGAGCTTTGAACTGAAGTTATAAATTAATGATACAGAAAATATTATGACATTTTTAAATCATTTATAGTTTAATTATTTTACATTGGTTCCAAATAAATTCATCTTATCATCTTTTCATCAAAGATTCATCTTAAAGCTGAAGAATTGCTTGATATCCTTATAAAGATAATTAATAGTAAAATTACTTCTCGAGGTTTCTGAAAAAGTGACTGTTGCTGTTACGTATCCGGTCCATGAACTTCCGTCTGCTAGCCATCAGAGGTCACCCTTTCCATTTTCATTGACACTCGCACTACACACTGTTGCACATCACCCCGGACTACATATCCCATCATTCATTGCACTGATTGCACACAGCTGTTTCACTGATTGCACACAGCACTGATTGCACACAGCTGGTTCATATCACTCACTCACTATTTAACACTCACTCTGATCCCCTCCCGGTGCCGAGTATTGTTTAGCGCTTACCATTTGATAGCTACACTACAGAGCCCTTGTTAGTTTACCCTGCCTTAGCCTTAGCCTTAGCCTTAGCCTTAGCCTTAGCCTTAGCCTTAGCCTTAGCCTTAGCCTTAGCCTTAGCCTTGCCTGTTTTCGCGGTTTCTGATCTTTGCCTGTTTTCCTGGATTTATCCCTTTAGTCTTGCCCTTTTGATTCTGTTCGCCGTTCGTTGACCTTCGCTAGCCCTAGAATTATTCTTGTGTCTTGCCCGCCATATACCTGTTTGCCACTGTTCGACCCTGCCTATGTTTCTGACCTCCTCTGCTTTAATTAAGCTTGCACATGGATCCGCATGTCTCACGTCTCGTCAGCCCCGTAACAGTTGCACTCTAGAGTCAATTATTTTTAACCAAAACATTGCACTAACATTTTTTTTGACTATATTAAACATGAATATGTCTCAAATTGATATGAGCTGCTGTTTTCAAGTACCAGATATAGTAAAGTTGTCCGGATCGGTACTATGGTACACAACAGTATTGGGCCCGAGCCCCTGCTGTGCAGCTGTGAGCGACAGGAAGTCATGCTCTGTTGGGTTCTCGTCCTTGACAGTCGAATCACTGGATGCCACACTGGATTTATTCCGATTGGCCAAGAAACAGGAACTTGGGTAGGCGGTGAATGTAGCCTTACTAGCATCTGTCAAAATGAAAAGATCACAGTTAATTGGGTCAAAGACATTTGCATATACACAACCGTTGAAATGTTTGGGGTCGGTTAGAGATTTTTTTTTTATGTTTAAGAAATGAATACTTTTATTCAGCTAGGATGCATTAAATTGACCAAAAGTGATAGTAAAAAAAACCATTTATAATGTTTATAATATTTATAATATTTTCTGGTCTTTTGAACCTCCTATTAATAAAAGAATCTTGAAAAACAATTGATCACCGTTCCACAAAAATATGCAGCACAACTGTTTTTAACACTGATAATAATAAAAAATGTTTCTTGAACTCTAAATCAGCATATTAGAATGATTTCTGAAGGATCATGTGACACTGAGGACTGGAGTAATGATGCTGAAAATTCAACTTTGCAACACAGAAATAAAAGACATTTTAAAACTTATTACAATAGAAAACAGTTATTTAAAATAGTAATAATACTTTATGTTTTACAGTATTTCTGATCAAATAAATGCAGCCTTGGTGTTTTAAAATCATTAACAAATCTTACTTTTTTAACGGTAGTGTACAGTAAAATAAACTAATAAAAGTCCTACTAATATGCCAATAAATAAAACAAAATGATTAAGGTACCTGCACTCCTCATGTATTTCTCCAGTAGATTCTGAAGATCTTGCTCTTTGTCGTTGTTGAATTGTGTTTCAATGGCTAGCAGGACGTACTCATCCAAAAGCATCCGAATGAGATGGAACGAGCCTGTCAGTAACATTAAACTAGGTTAAATTGTTTTAGCATATGTTGCAAAAATCACTTCTTTAATGTTAATTACCATAATAATCAAAGGTATCTGACGTCTGATTAAAGTAGCTTCACTCAGCTGCACACAAACTCTGGCTTTATTCAGAATAACACACTACTTGTACTATTACTACAAAAACACTATGCAGAATACTGAATCCCACAATGCAATGCGCACAATCTGACTTTTCCACGGGGTTCACCGAGCTATTGCTGAGGTCAAATGTGTGGCCTTCCAGGTGATACTGCTTTGTGAACACCTGTAGGGTCATCAAATGTTAGACGCACTAAGAAAGGTCGCTCCCTAATCAGGGCACACACGCGCGACACAAGATAAAGCTTTGTTTGTACAGGCTTTTATGGCTCATTCTCCACAGTAGATCCCCAGCTAAAGAGCCTGAACGAATAGTACAGATTTGACTATGCTATTATGCTCTAATTATACGGATGAGAAATTGAAAGCCGCCGAATCACTGACTACAGTTGCTATGAATGCATGCTAAAGGTTTACCAAAGCTAGTAGCGTTGTTTAGGGTGAGATTGTGCATCACTCGTGCTCCAAAAAAACTCCACTTCAGAAGGAAATCTTGAGCTCGCTTCTTCACTGACCGACCATTTTGTTTGCTGGGCTAGAAGACAGATAATATGCAATTTAATTCTATCAGTCAGGAATACTATTATCAGGAATACTAAGAGTTTGAAATGTGACAAACCTTAATAACTTTCTGCTCGACTACTGAGTCCAGCCATTCAATGAAAGACTCCACTGTGGCGTTTTTCCTCAGGAGGTCTTTCAACTCTTGAAACACTGAAATGGAGTCATCTAGCAGATAAGATGAAGAAATCATGAATATAGCTTGAGGCTCAGCATGAGATTTAAAAAAAAAAACATCCAAATGCTTGACTACCATCCAACAGTAACTCACATTCAGAGTAGAAGTCTGAATCTTGGTCACTTGTAATTGACAGGAGTGCTTGAGAACCAATACTGTTCAGATCCACCTTATCAATATCATTCACCATAGAAGTCACTACATTCTGGTCAAAAAGTGCAGGTCTTGCAATCTGAAAGGATGTAAATCCATGATAGTTTCCCTTTTATTTTAAAAAGTAGCAAAAGCAAGATTTATTCATGTTTATGTATAACATATCTACCTGTGCAAGATGTAAAAATGAGGTCTGTCTCTTTAAGGAGGACACAAATCGTCGCGCTATCAGCAGTTTCTTTTCTGAGAGGATTTCCGGAAGATTCTCCAAGGAAGACACCATCCAGTGTTCCCAGTGCTTGGCAAAATTTCGAATATCTGCCAAAAGACTGGAGATATTTCCCTAAACTCACTCAAAAACACTTGACAACATCAAATTCAACAGCTTTTTGAATCAATTGCACATAAACCAAATGGGTATTAATGCAACAGTTTATAGACAAACCTCTCTGGCATGTCCTGCATAGTAGCAGGGATGAGAACATCAGTCAGAACCTGGGAAAAACAATTCAGCCAGTTTGTCTGTCAAACATGATATCACAACTATGACATACAGTATATTGTTAAAAAAAAAAAAAAAAATGTATATATATATATATTAATGGAATGTAAAGGACATCATAAATATTAGTCTAATTTGTGTAAAAATTATATATAAATAATGAAAAAAATATTGAAATTGTTTTAGGTTATTTCACTCTTTGTATATTATTACACTCTAAAAAATGCTGGGTTAAATACAACCCAGTGCTGGGTAAAATAGGGACAAACCCAGCATTTGGGTTGTTTTGACCCAGCGGTTGGGCTAAATGTTTAACCCAACCTTCTGGGTAGTAACCCAACTGTTGGGTCAAAACAACCCAATTGCTGGGTTTGTCCCTATTTTACCCAGCACTGGGTTGTATTTAACCCAGCATTTTTTAGAGTGTAATGCTTTAGAAATGTAATAATATTTATATGATTGACTTTCTTATTTTAAGATTTAAAGTCTAGGTTTGGGACAAGGGTATGTTTTGACCCAGCGGTTGGGTTAAATGTTTAACCCAACCTTCTGGGTAGTAACCCAACCACTGGGTCAAAACAACCCAATTGCTGGGTTTGTCCCTATTTTACCCAGCACTGGGTTGTATTTAACCCAGCATTTTTTAGAGTGTAATGCTTTAGAAATGTAATAATATTTATATGATTGACTTTCTTATTTTAAGATTTAAAGTCTAGGTTTGGGACAAGGGTACAATAATAAAATGTACACATAACTGGCACTTGAAAAGACATACATTACACTCTAAAAAATGCTGGGTTAAAAAGGGACAAACCCAGCTATTGGGTTGTTTTGACCCAGTGGTTGGGTTCAAAACAACCCAGCATTTTTTAGAGTGTACCATGTTTTTTTTTAAAGATTTTTTTTCCCAGCAAGGACATATAAATTGTTCGAAAGTGGCAGTAAAAACATTTATAACTTTACAAAAGATTTCTATTTTAAATAAATGCTGTTTTTTTACTTTTTAATAATCGAAAAAAAAAATCTTGGTTTCCACAAGCAGCAAAGCCATTTTTTATTGACCCCAAAACCTTTGAACGGTAATGTAAAAGTGCCCGTAGTTGAAGAAATATCCAGATATGGTTCACAGACACTCACTTTGTAGAGTATAGAGTCACACACACAGAAGATGTCCACGATAACTGGATTTTCTAGCAATGGCAGGAGATGTTCAGGCATTCCCTGCCAGAAGTGAAGCAGAAAGTTCTGGATCTGAAACAAATGGGATTGATTACTGTGTGTTTGTCTAGAATCTAGATGTCATGATAACATATTCTTCAAGAGCTTAAAATAGCACCTCCTCAAAGTTGACATTAATGGCATTGTCCAGAATGCACTGACAGTGCGTTTTGTACATCATAATCAATGTGTCGACCTAACAAATTCAAAGAACAGCTAAGGTAAGTAAATTAGAAGTAGCACATATAAACATCATTTTAGAAATCAACAGACCTTATCTTTTGAAACAGAATCCTGAAGCACTAAATGCTGTGCACTTGGGAATTCAGGTAAAAGAGTTCCTGTTTTAGAACTAAGGGAGTATTTCCTGGTGAATCCCCCCTGTGAATATTAAAGAGCAGGCATACAAGTAATATTATTCTGCTGTTGTAGATAGCAAAACATGACAACATTTTTTAAATATATAGGTACATATGCAATTTGGTCTCATATTTTTCAAGAACATATGAGTATTCCACCACTAAATAGTTATTAAGGGTCACTTTTATTCAGTTGATACTTTTATTCAGCAAGGATGCATTAAATTGATACCAATCATTGATGATAATAATAGCATAATATATCAGAATAATTTCTGAAGGATCATGTGACACTGAGTAATGCCTGCTGAAAAATCAGCTTTGAAATCACAGGAACAAATTACATTATAAAATATGTTCAAATAGAAAACAGTTATTTAAATTGCAATAATGTTTTGCAATTTTACTGTATTTTTTATCAAATAAATGCAGCCTTGGTGAGCATAAGAGACTTCTTACAAAACATTTTTAAAAAATACCCCAAACTTTTGAACAGTATATATCAATTTCCTGAGAATGTAAAATTGAATACTAAAATTGAAGCGCAGCGCTCATATTTCATATGAAAAATCATGATTGATTTCTATAGTAAAACTGCCAACCTCATTTTTCAGCTTGCTTCCAGAGAATCTGTGCAAAACACATAAGAGACATTACTGATAAGATAGAACATTTAAATAAAATGTCAATTAATTATGAAAACAAACCAATAAATATAATGTGTTTCAGCGTGGGCATTGAAAAATCACTTGCATTTAGGGTTGCAAAGTGGTGGAAAATTTCCGGTAAATTTCCTGGAAACTTTCCAAAAATCCCTGGAATATTCCAAAAAAAATCCTGGAATGTTTCCGAAATTTACTGGAAATTTTCCACATTTTTGCAACACTACTTGCATTACAGTTTATTCAAAACATCCAAGGACTTGCGATTGTACGCTGAATTGAAGGGATGAAGGTCAAAACTAACCGTGTCAAACCTTTTCCAGAGTACACAGAGTGATAATACGCACTGCTCTCCTTGATTCCAATACCATAATAATGATACCTGAAAGACATTCAGAAGCCAAACACTGACACCTTTAGACATAGCCATTTAAGTAGTAAATTAAATAGTAATAAATAACATTTTCAGGCAGAAACCAGGCCATTTGGCTCTCTCTTACTTCGAATGGCCTCTGGTTCCAAGCCTTCGTGTTGTTAGAAGAGGGAATTTCTGCCTTATGGTCTGAAATGACAAGAATAGAGCTCTAATATATCGTATGATCGATCTCCATGAACTGTAACTACACAATCAATAGCTATTTTTGTCTGATAAGCTGACAGTTTCCTAAAGAGCAACTAAAATACACCTAAAATGCAATAGGTCTTGGTAGAATAGGAATCAATTTTAGAAGTTATAATACAGCACTGAGAATGTTTCTAATAACTGTTTGACATATAACTGAAGATATAAAAACTCCTCTTACCTTCCCAAAAGTGGCAGCACAAGCAGGATCTAATTTCTCCTTCCGACAAAAATCTAAATAATGAGCGTAGAGGATGCACCGTGGCAGACAAACACCTTCGCAAACGATGTAATTTTCCTCAAGCCTAATAAAACAACAAACCCCAAATGTAGTATCATTCTTTGCTTCCACTTTCCGTACATTATTTAAATGGCAAGCTTCATTAAAAGATTAAATGATGAGAGAGTACCATTGTAAAGTGAGTTGAGTCTGTTTCTTCTTGTCCTTGATGATCTGACTGATGCTTTTCTTTGGCACAGCTTGTTTCACAGAGAACTTCTTAGAATAATCCACGTGGCCCAGGTCCTCTTCCGAGGAAATGCTTCCATTACTTTCATCAGCTTCTGCCAAATGAATAACATACATAGCTTTCAAACCGTGACGTGTGCCAAAACTATTCATAACGTATAATTGCTCAACAAACTGGCAACAGATTGAGAATTTCGAACTGAAAGCATAGCAGTAGTTTAATCAAAGCCAGTTTGAAAACAATTTACAATAAAGATGATTTCCTCACCTGATTTAATGCCAGAATCCTCCTCCTCATCAAGCTTGGCTTTGAAAAACATGTTTTTCCCGAGATTGTCTCGGTCAACAAGAATTGTAGCATGGAGGTCATCTGCGTTTTTGCAAGCTCTCTTTGTCTGCGACGCTTGTAGTTGATTAAATGTGTCATTCTTCAATGGACTCCCTATATTTCTTTTCATTGGCATGTTCAAGGAGAAATTAAAAAGAAAAACTGGAATGCAAAATTAAAACCACCAAGTGAAATAATACAAAAAAAAGTGCCCCTCAAAGTCTAAATTGTTAAAACATTCCAAAATCAACACAGCCCACTCTAATGTTTAGCAATGTGATGCATATATCCATTCCTGTAATGATTCGCATCTCTGAAGCGTCCCAATAAATCTCCGAAAAACATTTAAACAATTTGTCAACTATGTGTGTTGCTTGTCCTCTTTCCTCAGAAACAATTGCTCACAAAATAAACCTGTAGCATGATGGAAACTCTAAAAATAACCGTTCAAATATAACATTAATCCTGTAAAAGTTCATTAATCCAAGAACGGGCAAGATAACACCTTCCAGTCTTAATTAAAGCTCTGCTCTCTCTGAAATGGTGCGTCACAGAGGTGAGTGCCTTAAGGCCATTTATCTTATTTACAGAAGACTGGCAATGGATTCTGGGATTTAATGATTAACCAAGAGGGTTATCATCTTCTTGAAATCTGGTGCTGGTCTTGCAGCTCGGCTATAGACCCAATCAGAGCCAGTCAGCCTCCCCAATGTTTCTCTGCCTTTCATTTACAAGCATTCAAACACTATATTCAGAACATTTTGTTATTGCTGGTTTTTATCTGCAACGGTGAGGAGTAGACTCCAAGAGGCTGGCCTTGTATTATAGGCAGAGTTTCAAAAAGCCATGTCAAATAAGTAGAAAACTGTGAAATGGCCAAATAAACACAAATATTGAACAATAAAAGAATGTCAGGTTTTAGGGAAGCCATATTTGAAAGCAGTTGGTTTTATTGATGATCAAATTGATGTACAGTCAAACCAAAATGTATTCAGACACCTTCAACATTTCACACATTATCACAGTTTATTCACTACAGTTTAGAAAATGGTAATAAAATATGACAATAACTCAGAGTTAAACTGTGTCAGATAACACTTAAGCAAAACATGGTCTAGTCAAAGCCTGAATAATTTTTGTTCCCAAATTTTTTGTCAATTTCACTGGTAGTCCACTGTATGAAGAATTTTTGGGTGTAATATGTCACAGTTTACTTTATTTTGCTATCCTCACTTGTATAAATGAACTATAGTGTCCTGCACCCACTAGTAAAAAATATAAAAAAATATATATCTGGTGTCTGAATAATTTTTGGTTTGACTGTATATATTTAAGTTGGACCCATTACTGTCATGTGCTCACTTTAAACACACTTTAAGTAAAACTGTCTCAACTCACCCAGCTCTTTAACTCCATGTGGCTCAACTTACCCTCTCCCTAGACTCAATTTACCTCTCACTGGGGGCAAGTTGAGCCAAGAGACCACTTTTTTTTGGGAAAGCCATATTTTGGAAGCAGTTTGTTTTAGATCCAAAGTGATTATTGCCAAGGATGCACCACATCCTGAAATTTATGTACACATTTAAGTTGGACCCATTACTGTCATGTGCTCACTTTAAACACACTTTAAGTAAAACTGTCTCAACTCACCCAGCTCTCCCATATATATATATATGTATGTATGTATGTATGTATGTATGTATGTATGTATATAT